ACATAATACATGCTCTCAAGTCTAGACTACAAGTTGATTGGCCTGCTGTTGTGAGTGATAATATGAGAAAATCCTATAGGCTTCCTCTATATCCTTTACCATATTCTGTGTTTTTGTCCAAGGTATTTGAATATGTAGGGATTAATATTGATGGTGAATCCTTCAAAACCATGAGCCATGCCAATGCAATTGGAAAGTCTGCTCTTCATCATATGGGACTGATAAAGAAGGATAATGGATGTTCTTCAAGGATGAAGATGAATTTGTTTATGAAGGAGTAGAGCCAATCAATGTTGATATCCCTGATTCTTCTGCTAGGAGAAAATTTTCTACATTTGAGCAAAGCATGCTAGAAAAACTTGATAATATACATCTATGGCAACAAGATAAGCATGAGTACTACTATTCCAGGTTTGATGCACTTGATGATCAAGTCTCCTCAATCATAAACATGCTATAACCAGAACAAGAAGATACTAACATGGAAGATAATGGAGATAACAGTGATGGCACTGTCCAACTATCATCCAATGATGATGATTGATTATCTTTTTCTCTCTTCTGCATGTTTTGACTGGACAAATTTACTTTAACTATCATTTACTTTAACTTGTCTGTAACCAAATACTGCTTATGACTCTCTTTTCTAATATTATGCATATTAATCTCTTAAACTACATGATTTGACCTTTTTTTATTAAGTCCAAGGGGGAGAAAGAAAGAGTTTACTATTGCAGGGGGAGATAGAGTTTGATACTGCTAAATGATACTGTTGAAGAACTTTTACTCTTATTTTTGGTGGTTGGCCATCATAAAAAAAGGGGAAAATTGTTGATGAAGAGGGAAGATAAAACTAGGAAATCTGTTTTTGACGATGTCAAGGTAGTTAGGATAGTTAGTTTGTATAAAGTCAAACAAGCCAAACTTTGAATAATCAAATATGTTAAAACAACACGCTAATAGTCGATTAGATAAATGAATAATCGATTATATGAATTAAAATTAAGTTTTAATAAAACACGCTAATAATCGATTATGTGATTCACCTAATTGATTATTTATCAAAAATTTTGTTTTAACATAATGCGCTACTAATCAATTAGATAAAGGGTTAATCGATTATATGACTTAAAATTCAATTTTCATAAGACGCGTTAATAATTGATTATGTGGTTACTTAATCGATTATTTGTAAAAAATCTTGTTTTAACACAACGTGTTAATAATCGATTATGTAAACACCTAATCAATTATCTGGCTATTTTTAAACTATCACTGCACTCAAATAATTGATTAGATAAATCTGTTAATTAATTATCTATGACAATTACAACAATTTTCTTTTTATAAAGGGATATAAGCTTTCTTTAATCGGTATCAATTTTCAAATACAAACACAAACAATTAGAAAGAACGTTTTGGGCATCAAGGAAAGAGCATAATTCTGCAAGAGATTTTAAATTTCAATTTCAAAGAAAGATTGTTTGGTTGTAGGTGCATAATTCTGTAAATCCAAGGTGAATTCGTTTCATCTCTTTCTTTCATATCTTGTTCTTAAATTTTGATGTATGTGAGGCTAGATAGATCAAGATAACTTGAAAATTATGAGGTTGAACATTTTCAAGTGTTGTGATCTTGATTAGATTGTAAATCTATTATTGAATGAAAAACTCCAGGTTAAGGTTATTTGGTTAAAACTGGATGTAGATTAAAAAAGAATCAAACCAATATAAATTTATGTGTATTTTCTTCTTTTTTTCTATCTTGGTATATTTGTTTTCTATAAACTATGATAATTCTTTTATAATTGATTATCGAGAAAAAGTTATTTAACTAATTGATTAGAAATTCAAAAGATTTTTGAAAACCTAATTCACTTGGGAAAATTTTGTCATTAACATTTTACTATAAGATATTATCTTTCTAAAGTTGATTTGAAATCTCTTTAATCTTCTCTTGAAATATTTTCATCCATAATTTTTTTTCTATTGTCCTTATCTCCTACAAAGGAGAACTTACGTAAAGTTGATATGAATTGAATGACCTCCAAAATATCAACCTTATATTTACGATTGATCTAATCAATATGACTTTCGAGTACACTACAAGAAATTTTAATATTACAGACGGTCAAAATCCGTCGGTAATAACAAAAATCAGTCGGTAATTTCCATTTACCGACAAATTTTCAACGACAAAAAATCACGTCGAAATTTGATGGTCGGTAAATATTACAGACGGATATATCCGTCGCTAAATGTTTTATGAAATTACCGACTGACAGGAATCCGTCGGTAATATTTTTATTGTTTATTAAATATTTTACTTATATAACTTATTTATTTTATAAAAATACCCTTCCCTTTACATTTTTATTATTTATTATTAATTATTTTCCCCTATTATATTTTTAAAGCCTTTAATTATTATTAGATTAAGAGAATTGTTATTGGCAAGATTCGAACCCAATACCTTAGAGTTAGAGGCTGATACTCCAACCACTAAGCTACCAAAATTTTTTGATAATAATTTACAAATAAATTATATTTATATACAAATATATTTATATATTTATATATTTATATATTTATATATTTATATATTTATATATTTATATATTTATATATTTATATATTTATATATTTATATATTTATATATTTATATATTTATATATTTATATTTTTATATATTTATATATTTATATTTTTATATTTTTTATATTTTTATATTTTTATTTTATATATTTTTATATTTTTATATATATATTTATATATAATTAAATATTTTTATATATTTATATATAATTAAATATTTATTTTTTAAAATTATTTAATTTAAGAAATTATTATAAATTAATCTAATTATGATTAAATTAAATTATTAAATAAAAAATATTTAATTTTTTAATTAGGTGAATATTTACTAATTGTTAATTTACCGACGGATATATCCGTCAGTAGAATTCATCCGTAAATTACCGACGGATTTATCGACGGATATATCCGTCGGTAACTAATTATTATTTTACCGACGGATATATCCGTCGGTAAAATCAAATTCCACAAATATTTTATATTCGTTGGTAATTTTCGTCGATAATAATTATTTACCGACGGATTTAAATCCGTCAGTAATACGCGATTTTCTTGTAGTGGTATAGTATCGACTACATAATTTTATCAATTTTTTAATAAAAAAAATTCACTAAATTCTCCAATAAAGAAGTCTGGAAATTTTATGAAAAGTTTTTTTTTTCTAAGACAATAATCTTCTAATTATTAATTTATATTAAAGCTTGTTTATTATCTCATATTATTAATAATGTCCTTTTAAGTCTTTTAAATTTAAGTAGCTACTTTATTAATTAATCACTTTGATTAAACCAACTAGCTGAGCTTTTAGATTTTTTTTTCTTTTAACTTTAGGCCAGCTTAATTTATCAAGTAGTTGTATAAGATACATCCTATATGAAATATAAACAATTCTTCATTCTTAATAATAATAAAAAAAGTTATTATATATATATATATGTATATATATAAAATAATATTTCAAGTTTCATGACTGTTTAGAAAATAATCAGGGAAATATCATACTATAAATAAATGTATAAACTCATTTCCAGCTACATCTTTAACATAAAAATACAAGATAAAATATATATGTTGGATTATTTGAGATTATAGAATAGATCACTAGTACAGAAATCACTTTTAACATCGGCCTTTCTACATCGGTTCTTTAAGAACCGATGTAGAAAGTGAATTCAAGACTTTCAACATCGGTTCCCAGATGAACCGATGTAGAAAGTCTTTTTATAAAATTAAAAGAATTGTCACTGGCAAGATTCGAACACAATACCTTAGAGTCGAAGGCTAATACTCCAACCACTAAGCTACCAAGATTTTCCGATAATAACTTATACATAAATTATATTTATATACAAATAAAAATGTATATCCATGTAAATATATAAATATAAAATATATAAATACAAATACAAATATATTTATATATTTATATGTTGGATGTGAGAGCGCGCTCGAGAGTAAAAGTGTTTGTCAAGTGGGTTTTCAAAATTTGATGTCAAATTTGTAAGCAAGTATCTTTATATGAATTTGTAATTTAATGATAGAATATAATCTTTATAATTTATTTATAATAATATAGAATATAATCTTTATAATTAATTTATATAATGATATAAAATAAAGAAAAAAATTATTTTATATCATTATATAAATAAATTATAAAGATTATATTTTGTCATTAAGTTATAATCCATATAAAGAGACCCGCTCACAAATTTTACATCAAATTTTGAAAATTCACTCGACACACACTTTCATCCTCAAGCGCGTCCTCACATCCAACATATAAATATATAAATATATTTGTATTTGTATTTATATATTTTATATTTATATATTTACATGGATATACATTTTTATTTGTATATAAATATAATTTATGTATAAGTTATTATCGAAAAATCCTGGTAGCTTAGTGGTTGGAGTATCAAGATCCGACTTCTAAGGTATCGGGTTTGAATCTTGCAAGTGATAATTCTCTTAATCTAATAATAATTCAAATTCCTAAAAAATATAAATAGTAAAAATATAATATAAAAGGGAGAGGATGGTAGAGGAGATAGATAGGGTAATTAGAGAGGGTTATGAATAAATAAAATAAATAAAAATATATAAATAAATAAAAATATTAGACTTTCTACATCGGTTCCTTACAACCGATGTTAAAAGCCTATTTTGTACTAGTGGATCAATAGATATTGTTTTAAGACGAAGAGCATATATATAAAATTTGATATAATAAACATATATCGTAATAAAGAGAAATCACAACTAAAATACACGTATTAAGTAATAACTTAGCGTTACAACATATTTTATAATCAAATAAAATTTAAATAGTTCACAGGTATGAAAACCCGTATCTAGTTATTTTTATCAAAATATGCAGCATACCATAAAAACAAGACTCAAACATTCTGGTGAAAAACATCTTTCATTAACTTCTGGAAGTTGTTGTAAGAAGACCCTCCAATATCAGTGGCTCTTACTGCTTTCTTCTTCCACTCTGCAGATTTTTGTCTTATTTCCATTCCTTTTTCTCCCATTATCATTTCGATTACAAGTTTTGTTATCTCGTCTCTCTTCACGTCATGATTAATTTCCATTCCTATCTCCCAAAGTTCGCATACATACCTGGAGTTTGTTTGTTGTTCAGCAAAGAAAGGCCAACAAATCATAGGCACACCAGCATATATGCTTTCAAGGGTAGAATTCCAGCCACAGTGGGTTAGAAAGACCCCAACAGATGGATGAGAAAGCACTTTCTCTTGAATGCACCAACTTGCTATGTATCCCCTATCCTTGATCTCATCAAAGAACTCTTGTGCTAAAGCTACAGATTCATCCATAACTACATCTGACCTTATTATCCATAAGAAAGGTAGCTTGCTATTTGCCAGTCCCCATGCAAATTCTTTCAAGTGATGATTTGTCATTACTGTTATACTTCCATAATTAACATATACGACCGAGTTGGGTTCCCATTTGTCTAACCATGTTAAGCAGTTTGAGTCATTTTTCCATAAACTTGACCCAACTGACATGAAGCCCTTTTCTTTTACAAGAAAATGCCTACCAAGCAAGTCAAGTGGACCAATTGTATATATGTTCGCGTTCTTGGCTCTAAGGGTATCAAGGGCTTCTCCATCCAACTCTTGAAATGTGTTAATGATAATTGAAGATGATTTCAAACAATTTCGTGCCTCAGAACCCAAGAAGTCAAACATAATGTCATCCAAAGTAGTGACTCTAATGAAGCTTGGAATGTCTTTCAGTTTAATATTTCTCATTCCACTGATCCAATCTAAACTTCTATCCAAAGTGCCATCAATCTCAAAATTTTCATCTAAAAATTAGACAAAAACAAATTATATAAGATAAATTTAACATTAATAAACCACATTAAATTTTGATATAATCTAACATAATTAATATGATTAAAACGCTAAAGAAATTACCTAACAATATAATATTGAATTAAAATAAAAGAGAATGATTTATTAACAAAGTTTGCGTTTTTTTTTTCTTGTTAAATGAGAATTCAATATTTATTGATATAATTTATCCACAATTATTAATAATAGAGTGAGAGTTAGGTCCTAGTCTCGATAAAGAGACTTAATTATGTGATATCTTACCTTTTTATATCACTTGCCATTAAATTATGTATGACAAGAATCAGTATGACGTTTATTAATAGAATAGAGGGAGAGTTAGGTCTTAGTCCCACCAAAGAGACTTAGTAATGTGATATCTTACGTTTTTATATCACTTGTCATTATACTTAAATTCGTAGATTAAATAGGTTCGATCTAGATTAAGTAAATTATAATAGGTTAATTCAATTTTTTAATCTGTAATATTTTTCCTGTTTAGTAAAAATTCATGAAAAAAAATTTAATAAGTCAATTCACTTAACTCACTTATTTTAATAATTTAAAAAGATAAAAAATAAAATTAAAAAATACATATTTAAATGGGTCAACTAATAAAAATATTTAGGATTTTATGTATATATATTTCTTATATATGAAATATATCTCATGTAGTTATATCTTTTATTTATATTCTCTATTTATATGTAAAGTCAAAATATGATAAAATATCAAATATTAATAATATTTGAATAATAAATACTTAAATTAAAATAATAACTTAACATTTTTTTCTCTTCCTCTAAAAATTAATAAAAAAATAATTTCATATCTAATTTAAATAAAATATATAGCTTCTAAAAATAATTTGTTTGGAGGATTTTCGTTCAAGTGAAATTTTCCATAAGTTTGACCTGTTTTATGTCTAAACTTATAAAAATTATAACAAATAGCTACTAACTCCAAATTAAGCATTCTATATATGAAATTGAACCCTTATAAATAAGGAATACAATGAAATAAGAATTAACTAAAAAGGATATATGTAAAGAAAGTTATGGGCAAAAGAGTGATAAGAGGTCAAATAAAAAAAATACTTTTGTAGTAACGTGAGAAATGGTATATATATGACTTAGGATGTTAGAATACATGCTATAACACATAATATTATGTGTGTTGCATGTTATTATATGCATATAAAAAAAATATCTTGTTGTGATGTGAGAAATACCATAAAGTATTCTCATATGCATGTTATATTTGTTATGTATTTATTAAAGTTAATATAATGATTTTCAATGAGAAAATATTATGTTATGATGTAAGTGATGTATTAAATTTGAGATTCTAAAGAAGATATTCTAACTCTACTCATACAAAACTCACATAGAGAAAAATATCAAGTAGTGAAAGTTGAGAGTAGTCTCGATGAATTAGCTTGTGGTGTGAAAAAGAATTGTATTCAACCAGTCATAAAGATTTATCTTGTTACATGACGGAACATGTTTCAAGGATGTAATTATGTTGAAGATACCCACTTAGGGAAAGTAGTGTGACAAGTGCACATCTTTCAGTTTAATTCAACACATAAGTCTTTTGGAAGTAGAATTAAAAGTCTATGACATTTGTGTTAGTACATAATGACTTAATTTATTGTTTACATATATATTGAGAGTTAAACACTTAATTTATTGTTTACATATTTTACATGATAAAATTATTTATGAACAGAATATGCAAATGAGGTTATATGTATACAATTTGAGATATTTTTATACACTAGCTTACTTTGATTTTTATTATGTGTTTCGTTTGAACTGTTTTGATCGCATTATTACACATGAATAAAGAATATTTGAAGTATTCGTATGTTAATTCGTTAAGAGAGAAAGAAAAATTTTATATTTAAACATTTTGTTTAAAATATGTATATAAATATCCTTATATAAAAGATGATATTTTTTAAAATTATTTAGAGCTTAATTAATATAAATATTAAATAGTTCTATATTTAGATGATTTAATTTTATTTTTATGTAATTATGAATGTCACATTCTATATTTATAATATTATATATATTATAATTAAGTTTATATATATAATCAAATTTTTTTCTTATGGATTGATGGACATATATCATCAATTCATATTTATTAATTTAAAAAAAATAATAATTATCTTTGACTTATATCTTAAATTTTATTTTATTCTATCTTTCCTTTAATTTATTTATCTTAATATAATATAATATAATTATTTCAAACTATTTTATTTTCTATTTATCTTTTCTTTGTGTAATAAGACATATATGTTTTTATCTATCTTTCATGAGTAAAATAAAAAATAAAATAAATCTTAGAAGAGTTAGTCCTGGTTGGATCATATGATGAATTTGATAGAATGGGAAATGATAGATTTGAAAGGAAAAAAAAAGTAAAAGTGGTTGAGATGTGTTGTTTATGTATCTTTTAGTATTCTTTTTCAATGTTCCTTAGACTAGGGTTAAGGGTTTGGGTTGAGACCCATATCCTCTCTATTGTACCCTTTTTTCTATAAATATAATGCATCAGTGTCTTTGATAACTACCACTACAAAAAAAATGTTTATTATTTACGGGTAAAATCCGTAGGTAATGACAAAAATCCGTAGGTAATGTCACTTTTACCTACGGATTTTTTTTCGTAGATAATTACCTACGGAATATAATCCGTAGGTAATGCACTTACCTAAACAAAATATTTTTATTTATTACAACCACCTCCCCTTTACACTATATTTTTATTATTTATTATATTTTCAAAACTTTGAATTATTATTAGATTAAGGGAATTGTCATTGGCGGGATTCAAATCCGAGTACCTCGAGTTGGAGGCTGATACTCCAACCACTAAGCTATTAGGATATTTTGATAATGATTTACAAATAAATTATATTTATATTTATCCGTGTAAATATATAAATATAAAAAATATATAAATATAAATATATATATAAATATAAAATATATAAATATAAAATATATATAAATATAAAAAATATATAAATATAAAATATATAAATATAAAATATATAAATATAAAATATATTTATATTTTGATATATTTATATATTTATATATTTGTATTTATATATTTATATTTATATTTATATATTTATATATTTATATATTTATATATTTATATATTTATATATTTATATATTTATATATTTATATATTTATATATTTATATATTTATATATTTATGTATTTATGTATTTATGTATTTATATATTTAATATATTTATGTATTTATATATTTATATATTTATGTATTTATGTATTTATGTATTTATCTATTTATGTATTTATGTATTTATGTATTTATATATTTATATATTTATATATTTACACGAATAAATATATGTATAATTTAGTTGTAAATTATTATTAGAATATCCTAATAGTTTAGTGGTTGGAGTATCGGTTTTCAATTTTAAGGTACTGGGTTCGATTCCTACTAGTGACAATTCTTTTAGTTTAATATAATTTACCTACGGATAGTAATTCCGTAGGTAATTACCTATGGAATTACCCACGGATGACATTACCTACGGATAATATCCGTAGGTTCGATTCCTACTAGTGACAATTCTTTTAGTTTAATATAATTTACCTACGGATAGTAATTCCGTAGGTAATTACCTATGGAATTACCCACGGATGACATTACCTACGGATAATATCCGTAAGTAATGTACACTTTACCTACGGATAGTAATTACGTAGGTAATTACCTATGGAATTATCCACGGATTACATTACCTACGGATAATATCCGTAATTACCTACGAATAGAATTCCGTAGGTAATATCCGTAGGTAATGTACAATTTACCTACGGATTTTCATCCGTGGGTAATATCCGTAGGTAATGTAAAATTTACCTACGGATTTTTATCCGTAGGTAATATTCCGTAGGTAATAGGCTTTTTTTTGTAGTGTACATCAAACCCTAAATAAGTTTTCTCAAATTAGTATCATAGGGGGTAAGATCCCGTTGATTTTCGGTCGCCTTTGTCAGCTCCAGTCGTTGTTAACCTCCTTCAAATGGCCGGAATCAAGCCCAACCATCTTTGTCCGACTCGCCGACGTCCTCCAAGTCCAGTGGTGCCCTTAGTTTTCTGGTTTGAGAGTTGTGTGTGAAAATTCCCATGGGTAACCCTATTCATTGGCTTTATTCATCTTTTCTGGTTCAAATCTCATCCTCTACCTTCACCTTCTCTACTACTCCCACCATTACTAGTGTCAGGCTCAACTGGAAAAATTACTTATCCTAGTCTGCTTAAGTTGAGTTATGGTTTCTCGATCAAGGACATCACGACCATTTAGAGAAGGATGTAGACTTTATTTCCGCTGCGGAAAGGTCTCAGTGGGAGAAAATAGACTTCCAACTTTATGCAATCTTATGGTAGTCTATGGAACCGGATGTTCTTGAGCTTCTCAAGTCATTCAAAACCTATTCTTCTTTTTGGAAAAAGGCTCAAGATATTTTCGCTAATAATATTCAATTTCTCTTTGATGCAACTCAAAACGTTACGTTACTTAAGCAGACCAATCACGACATGATGACTCACATCGCAAAAGCTAGGGCTGTTGTGGAAGAAGTAAAAAGGTTTCTTGTTGCAAATACCTTAGAGGAGGTAAACACCAAACTCAATAAGTTATATATGGTTCTAATTTTGAGAATTCTGCATTCTGACTTTGATCACATGCGTGATCAAATCCTAGCCGACGATCATGTTCCATCAATGGATAATCTTGTCACTAGGTTGATTCGGGTTCCTAATCTTGTGGTTGATGGCAATCAGGTGGAGACTGTTGAAACTTTTGCTATGGTTGCCCCTCGAGACACACGTAGGAAAATTGTTATTCCTTA